CGAAAGAGCCACATGTGGATTCAGCGGAGCGAACTTTGTCCGGCTGAGAGGGAGAATGGGATCTCTCTTCTCAAATATTTCTCCCTGTGTGCCCAGAGGAATGAGGAGAGGAGGGCAGCTGAGTCTTCCTCACCGGTCTCTCCTGGAATGGGATCTTCGTCATCGGATCCGTCCAGCATTGGGAATCCGTCTATGGTTTTAACCAACTTCGAGTCTGCACAGATCCGTCAAAAGGGAGGGAGAAGGAGAAGGAGACATAATCCGTCTGCCCAGCGAGAGACTGTTCACGTCCCGTCTGCCCAGCGAGAGACTGTTCACGTCCCGTCTGCCCAGCGAGAGACTGTTCACGTCCCGTCTGCCCAGCGAGAGACTGTTCACGTCCCGTCTGCCCAGCGAGAGACTGTTCACGTCCCGTCTGCCCAGCGAGAGACTGTTCACGTCCCGTCTGCCCAGCGAGAGACTGTTCACGTCCCGTCTGCCCAGCGAGAGACTGTTCACGTCCCGTCTGCCCAGCGAGAGACTGTTCACGTCCCGTCTGCCCAGCGAGAGACTGTTCACGTCCCGTCTGCCCAGCGAGAGACTGTTCACGTCCCGTCTGCCCAGCGAGAGACTGTTCACGTCCCGTCTGCCCAGCGAGAGACTGTTCACGTCCCGTCTGCCCAGCGAGAGACTGTTCACGTCCCGTCTGCCCAGCGAGAGACTGTTCACGTCCCGTCTGCCCAGCGAGAGACTGCCCACGTCCCGTCTGCCCAGCGAGAGACTGATCACGTCCCGTCTGCCCAGCGAGAGACTGATCACGTTCCGTCTGGGACGAGCCAGAGATCCCCTTTGGCGTGGCCGCCAAGGTTGTGACGGACTATCTGGAGCGTCTGGCTCAGATCTTGGAGATGCCAGTCTCTACTGTGCCTGTCCCGGAGCCAGAGCCAGTGCCTGTCCCAGAGGCGGAGCCAGAGCCAGTGCCTGTCCCAGAGGCGGAGCCAGAGCCAGTGCCTGTCCCAGAGGCGGAGGCAGAGCCAGTGCCTGTTCCAGAGCTGGAGCCCATGTCGGTTCCGGACCCAGTGTTTGTGTCTGTGTTTGTGTCTGTTCTTGTATCTGTTTCAGTTCTTGTGGCTGTACCTGAGCCGGTGTCCGCTGTTCCTGAGCCGGTGTCCGCTTGAGCCGGTGTCCGCTGTTCCTGAGCCGGTGTCCGCTGTTCCTGAGCCGGTGTCCGCTGTTCCTGAGCCGGTGTCCGCTGTTCCTGAGCCGGTGTCCGCTGTTCCTGAGCCGGTGTCCGCTGTTCCTGAGCCGGTGTCCGCTGTTCCTGAGCCGGTGTCCGCTGTTCCTGAGCCGGTGTCCGCGGTTCCTGAGCCGGTGTCCGCGGTTCCTGAGCCGGTGTCCGCGGTTCCTGAGCCGGTGTCCGCGGTTCCTGAGCCGGTGTCCGCGGTTCCTGAGCCGGTGTCCGCGGTTCCTGAGCCGGTGTCCGCGGTTCCTGAGCCGGTGTCCGCGGTTCCTGAGCCGGTGTCCGCGGTTCCTGAGCCGGTGTCCGCGGTTCCTGAGCCGGTGTCCGCGGTTCCTGAGCCGGTGTCCGCGGTTCCTGAGCCGGTGTCCGCGGTTCCTGAGCCGGTGTCCGCGGTTCCTGAGCCGGTGTCCGCGGTTCCTGAGCCGGTGTCCGCGGTTCCTGAGCCGGTGTCCGCGGTTCCTGAGCCGGTGTCCGCGGTTCCTGAGCCGGTGTCCGCGGTTCCTGAGCCGGAGTCACCGCCCTGGCCGCCCGAAGGGTCTTCACCGCCCTGGCCGCCCGAGGGGTCTTCACCGCCCTGGCCGCCCGAGGGGTCTTCACCGCCCTGGCCGCCCGAGGGGTCTTCACCGCCCTGGCCGCCCGAGGGGTCTTCACCGTCCTGGCCGCCCGATGAACTCTGTTTTTCCCTGGTCTGTCCCTCCCGTTCCCCCCCTGGTCTGTCCCTCCCATTTCCCCCTTGGTCTGTCCCTCCCATCCCGCCCTGATGTTTCCTTACTGTCCCGCCTTGGCCTGATGGAGCGTCTGGTAGCCGCTCCGTAGGGAGGGGGTTATGTCACATGTCTGTCCGGTCTTGTATTGCACATGGGTGTTTGTTATGTTGAGCCATGTGCTCTCGTCATTGTTTGACCCCTCCCTCTTGTTATCTGATTATTGGTTTATTTGCTCCACCTGTCTGTCTCATTATCCTCCTTGTTTGCCTCCCTATTTAGTCTTCCTGTGTTTGCTGTCCTGGGCTCGTTCGTTGTATTTGTTACGTTGTGTTTGTGCCGTGCTTGCCTTGCCTTACCTTGCCTGCCTTGTTGGATGTAGTTTTTGGTTTGTTTGTTTTTATGTTTTGTCTTTATTAAACACTTTCTCGCTATGCACCTGAATCCACGGAATTATTTCCACACGCACCGTGACAGAAACTTGTGCATGCTTTCATCACGAGCAGGGTGGATTATTGTAATGGACTCCTCACTGGCCTTCCTAAAAAGACCATAAGACAGTTAGCTCATACAGAACGCAGAACCAGAAAATATGAACATATCACACCAGTCCTCAGATCTTTACACTGACTCCCAGTTACATTTAGGATTGATTTTAAAGTATTATTACTAGTATATAAATCATTCAATGGGCTAGGACCTCAATATATTGCAGATATGATCACTGAATATAGACAGATCACTCAGATCATTAGGATCACATCAGCTAGAAATACCAAGGGTTCACTCTCTGCTTTTAGCTATTATGCCAGCCGCAGCTGGAACCAGCTTCCAGAGGAGATCAGATGTGCTCCTACAGTAGTCACATTCAAATCCAGACTCAAAACACATCTGTTTAGCTGTGCATTTACTGAATGAGCATACTACTGTATTCTTCCTTTTGATTCTAAACTGAACTCAAATGGCACTGATTGATATGATGAACGGGTGTTTCGCACTAAATCCTGTGGAGTTTGAGAGGGATTGACTCATGACGGTCAAGGGAACACTGTGGTGACTAGTACAGATTACTGGTCTGGATTGGTACAGATTACTAATCTGGTGGGCCAGATAATCCACTGTACTACTGAAAATCCACAGAAGAATACTGACCGTCATGGGGAAAGTTCAGAGTCAAAATAAGATACACCGGTGTTTTGCCAGATGAGAAGTGTATCATCTTTTTACTATTTTAATTCATTTTATAGCTGTGTCATTTCTCTCTTTTAACCCTCTGGTTATCTTCGGGGTCTTTTTGACCCGCAAATGACTTTTGGTGAATTTTTAAAAAATGTTCTCTTTGTCCAAATGGTATGAAAACTTCTACGCCTCTTAACACTGTCTAGATCTAACAAAAAAATAATAATTTGGAATGATATCTGTTTTTATGTTAGCGTGAAAAAAATGCCGACACTTGTTATCTTCGGGGTCCCTGGAGACCCCGCATAGTGAATATACAAAATTCATCATCAAAATCAGAAACAACGAAGAAACAACGCAGATCACATAGACAGAAATAAAGTGGCACACTTCCAACAATGCAAAAAAAAATCCACAATGCACACACACACACAGTAATACATTTGTAAGGCTATACTATGCATACTGCCTGCAGTGCACTGTAAACGAGACTGTATGTGATGACCACCAATTATTGTTCCTAGTTGTTCGATTTTTTTCTCCATTCACTGTTTTTTTTTACTAAATTTATTTTTTTTACTGCTTTATTTGCTCATTTGTTATTGCTGTTCAGTTCATTGCATTTTGATGTTCATGTCATGTATTTTTACTCAATATGTAATATAACTGTTCATTTCTGTAATTTTTTGTTCTGTTACAGTTAGTAAAATTGTAGAATTAAAATTGTAGAATTATATTAAAAACAGATGATTGAAATAAATTATAAAATCTAAAGACTCCAACATTTGGAGTCTTGTTCAGGTTTGATTCTAATCATAATGTAACATTATTGAAAAACTTACAAAAAATGCTAAACTTTGACAAAAAGTTTTTTTTGTGTGTAATAATTGTGATTTTATAATATTTAGATATGAATCCAACTGGAAAAACTTGTGAAAAGATATGTAGTGGTTAATCATATAGCAAATAGCTTATAGTGGAGGTCTATTGCCATCTAGTGGTTAAAGTGAGTTTTTTTTTTTTTTTTAACGGCATTTTCCAAAAAAATGGGCAAAAATCTTACATTAAATCATTTAAAATGATCCATGTTATCCCCATAAATGAAAGTTAGAAATCGGGGTCTTTTATAAAGTAAATTTGACATAAAATGCTGTTTTTTGTAAAAAAAAAAAAAGCATATTTAAATAAATATTTATTTATTTATAGAAATTTAAAAGATATCAAAAATCCTCCAAAAACTGCACAAATGTTGAGTAAAAACATTAATAAACAGACTAAAATTACATTTGTAAAAAAAATATATATATTATTCTGTTACAAAATGAAATGTTATTGTCTGGGGTCCCTGGAGACCCCAAAGATAATGAGTGTAGACACAAATGAAGATAATCAGAGGGTTAATTCCCCCTGCTTTTATTTTGTCTATTTTCTATGCAAAGCTGTATGAATTGCTATAGTGTGATTATTATAATTCCTTTCCACGTAAAGCTTTTGAATAACTGTTTGAATTTTCCTTGCTTTATTTTGTGATTATTTCCTCTCTATAAAGCACTTTAAATTGCCATAGTGTATGAAATGTGCTATACTTGCCTTGCCTAATATTTTGAAAGAATGACTGACGTTATGGTAAGAAAATTTGTTTCGTAACTTTGAGAGAACCTTGCCAAAACTTAAGGGAAGTTCTGAGAAACTTACTAAGAGGGCACATACATTTTTTTTTTAAATGAATGTACTTTATCAAGAATTTAATCAAATTATGTTCATAATCTGAAAGTATAGCAGTTTGGTCCTTATATATACATGTTCTGCCACTAATTCTGCCAGCAAATTTAATTACTGATGAGTTAAGTAAGCATGCTAATGAATACATTAATTTGTAAAAAAACACAAACACACAATTGTGGTTGTTTCTTTATTTAAATTTTCATAAGTTTTTTTAAGTTTTTTTAATAAGGTGAAGAAAAATACCTTTTTTTGTTCTGTATAATAAAATATGTTAACTTTATTCCTTTATGAAGAGGGAAAAAACAAAATAAGAAGTAAAAATACAGAAAACATTCCTCTGGGGGGGAGGGAGTTTTTCAATGTTGCGCATGGAAGCAGAAAGGCGAAAATCCGTTCATGAAATCTGACTCACCGTCACAAGAGAACGATCGAAAAACATTCTCGTCAACAAACATTTACTGCATGTAAAAAAAGTGTACCAATCTGAACACATGGTCATTAAGTATCACATGGGTCATAGGTCACAACGATAACATGATGCTGCCTACCATGCGTTATTGTGTATATTTTTAACCGTTTGTTGCACATTGTACGTTTACATGGAGAGAAGAGTATTAGACGTTCATGTCATGTTTCCTTTTCTCTCCTTCAATGCGACATACTCTATTACGACTTCAGTGAGAAGGAGGATCTCGCATGTGTAGACACCATTAAGCTTTCTCTATGTGACACACAATTCCCAAGACAGGCAAGACAGACTTCATGAACACGGCTGGAAAAAGAGCAGGAAGTCGTATATGACACACAGAAAGGCCTGGGCTGATAGGAGGATACAAAAATGACCGAACATCATTGTGTGGTGCTGATGGAAGCTGCTCTGATTGGCTGATCTGGGGCAAGTTCTGCTTGCTCTGCTTGTTGGTGCTAGATCAGCACTGAAGAGCTGCTTTTACTCTCATGGAGTGCAAGCTATGTGTGTGTTTATGAATATGCGTATTTGTGTGTATTTGTATCAGAAGGCAGGTCGACCCCACATCCGGGGGTCGCGGTTCAGAGGTCACTCTCCCCATAGAGGGCGGTGGAGAAGGACATGTAGTCGAGAGCTCCCGGGACGGTGTCAGGGCCGGAGTAAGGCGTCATGCGGGCGATGCAGTACTCAGCCTGGTCAGGGGGGAGCTCGCGCCTCAGCTCATCCGCCAGGATATAGTTCTGCACCAGATAAGAGTTATTCACTTGGTTATTAATTTAAACATTTTAAAACAGGAAAATGTCTTTTGGATGTTGCATATGTACCTTGTCTCCAGCAAGGACTTTAAACGATGCCATGACCTGATCAGCGGTGTCCGTGTCGGCCGTCTCGCGAGACATAAAGTCAATGAAGGCCTGGAATGTGATCAATCCCAGTCTGTTAGGATCCACAATGCTCATGATGCGGGAAAACTCCGCCTCTCCCTACAGAACAGAGAAATTATTCTTAAAAATCACTATGAAAACAATATGAAGGGTTGTTCCTCACTGGGTTAGCATAGCTGATGCTACTTTTTTCTTTTTTTTTTACCAGGAATCAAGTAACTCTTTCTCAATAACTCTACCAGATTAGAGATTGGGATTATAATTTACAGTAGTCAACATATGAAGTGGATTAAAATCTTTTATCTAAATTATACATGAATTTTGAACAATACCCGTTCTTGTCTTAGGACAACTTTGATTAACTTTTTTGATCCACTTGTTGACTACTGTAGTTTAAATTTACAATCCTTGGACTTTTCTCTACCAGTTTATGCTACTTTTTCCAGAAATACTTGCGTAATTTCTCAAATAATAACCACATTAGTGCTGATATTGTTAATTAACTAAAACTAAAATATCGCTTTTGGTAATTAAAAAAAAAAAAAAAAAAAAGTTGGGAAAAAAAGCGATATAAAATACATTATAAATATTAGATTAAAAAAATAAAGAACATTTTTCAAACATCAGAAATGTTGTCTTGGCAACTAACTAAATAAATAATTGTATGTTGAAGTACTAAAATAGCTAAAACTACAATTGAAAAAATGTATTAAAACCATGTAAAAAAAAAAAAAATAATTATACAAATGACAAAACAAATTACAAAAACTTAAAACTACAATGAACATATACAAAATAAAAGATCATTTAAAATATGAATAAATACTATCATATTATATAAATACAAAAATAACACTGAACCACATAGATGGAACTAACCAAGAGTTCCGGAAATCTTCCCTTAACCACATAACTCTGCCTTACCAGATAATGCATGGAGTTTATTACCATAGTATCCACCATAGTATCCACCATAGTATCATACCATAGTATCCACCTTATTTGTCAATGTGGAAGTAAGCTACTTCCTGTGAAAACTGTAAACTGTTAAACTATTAGTGTTACAAACCAGTGTGTTTATGAGTATAATAAATTAAAGGGGTCATGACATGGAATTTTTCTTATTATTTTAATATGTTCCTTGAGGTTCACTTATAATGTTAATAAAGTTTTTAGCAAAAAACAACAAAAAACAATTATTTCTACCTTCATTCTGACCCTCTGTCTGTAATGATCTGTTTTTAAGGGGCGGCTCCTTTAAGGCTTGTCAGTAAACAGTCACTTATGATTGGCTGCTCCATCTTTCAACAAAAGTTATTTGCCAACTCCCCATTACACTGTGCCTCGATTACAAAACAAAATGCTCCCAACAAACATATAATCCTTCAAAGGACACCATTAAAATAAACCATTCACTTGTTCCTGACGCTGGGATCCTTCTGAAGTCTCTACAGTGATGAAAATGAGCTGTTTAAACTGGACGCGTCAAATTGAATGTTATTTCACTCTTCCATTTGTCCTGTTGTCGAAAGACTCAAGCGAGTGAGTTTGTCAGAAACAAATATCAGCCATTAAGCGTGAAGGAGGTGGATTTACAATCCCTCTTGTGTTATATGAATTGTAGTTTTCTTCAAACCAGTGTATCTATCCTGATATTTCTGTTACAGGCCATGTCTGTATTTGGTATCTGAGAGGTGACTGAGGGTCTGACCCATGTCAGGAATGCAGTCACAGTATTTGCTCAATTAGCCCGGCTTCCAGAGAATAAATATGTACTTGTTTTGTAATTAATTTTCTCATACAAGTACATTAACCATATTTTGTAGAAAGAAAACTTTATTCTTATTCATTTTATTCTACTCTTCTCATGATAGCATGTTAAGACAACAGTGTCTAAGGTCATAGCATTGCATGTATGATGTATCCACTAACACGCATGCATACTTAGCATGTGTAATTCTTTTAGGATTTTTAGCACCATTGGTCACTACATGTTAAAATATGACAATGAATAATGTAGAAGTTTGTATCGCCGCCTATGTTTTATCTTATTGTCTGCAGGGATTCTTACTATGAGAGGCATGTGATCATGCCAAAGGAATAGACTCCAGGAGAATTCAACAGCATCCCAGATGAGAAGAGTTGTTCCGGAACTTAAGACTGACCCTTACCAAAGTTTCTTACGAATACAGAACAAAGCATGTCACATACTATAATGCTATAATACATATAATACAAGCAATGCTAGTGGGCGTGGCCTATGGTGTGATAATGTAAAACTATTCATCGATATCTTGCTCTGGAGGCAGGCATATGCAAATGTATCTGCCCGTGTGACGTAACATGTCACCCAATATCAAAACAAGCTGTTTTTGGAGCTTGATTAAATAAATGCTTTGTTTATAATGAGGAGGATGTTTTAAGCTATGAAAATTGCAGGATGTTTTAATGGTACAAAAACCTCTTAGATGTCAAAAGATCAATGCAAATTAGATTTCTCACGTCATGACCCCTTTAAAATAATATGATAACCTATATCAGTTTGCAACAAGCAGGATAACGGACTGTTTTTGCACATTCAAGTTACAAATGGCCGCACCTACTCTTATGTTAAAAATAAGATGGATACCCCATGTAGATAAATCTTCATTTTTACAGGTTTATATCTACCGGTATGTAGTAGATTATAAATCTCTGTTTTACCACATATATCTTCAATTTATAATGAGTTATATTCCATAGGGATTGAATTAGGCAACAAGCCATGGACTTTTTTACTAGTTCATGCTACTTTTCCCAGTAATACTTTCTCAAATAATAACCCACACAGATGTAACTATCCAAGAGTTCAGGAAACTCGTCCTAAGCCAAATGATAACTGCATTAACTGAGAACACTTGGAGATTATAACAGCTTTTCCATATTATACCCCATGCTGAACATAAATCTATAATTTTCCAGGTTGTACCATTTAGATTTCTAAATCTGTTTTACCAGATGAATCCAGAGGGATTGTAACTATCAATTTATCCATATTACAAAACATTCAGATTATATGATTTACCAGTTCATTATCCACGGGGACCTAAACTCTCCGTTTAACCTTATCACAACCCATGGAGATTTGAACTCTCTGCTTTACCATATTATAACCCATGGAGATGAGGCAGGCTCTGAAGTCTTCTGCATCCATCATGCCTGTTCTCTTCTACAGGAACCCACGAGGGACAAACAGAGCCAGGTAGTAGTGGAGAGAAAGATGAAGAGCGAAAGAGGATGGGAGGAGTATAAGTGAAGGAAGTCATTTTAGAGGAAGGGTTGAGAGAAAATTGGAAAAAATAAGACCGAGAGCGAAAAGAAAAAGAGAGTAGAAAGGGAAAAAAAACAAAAACAAAAAGAGTGTGGTTAATGGCAGAACTCCCTGACTGGTGTCGGTGTGTGTGTACCTGTGCGTCGTTCCCGATATCGAAGCCCAGACTGATAAGGCAGGCTTTGAACTCCTCAGCGCCCAGTGCGCCCGAGTGGTCCTGGGTGTCAGAGCCGTGGGCAGGGTCAGAGGTCAGCAGCGTGGACATGCAGCACACACATGGGAGGGGTGGGGGAATGTCATGCAGACATGGAAGAGGGTCCATGCAGAAGAGAAAAACGAGAAGACAAAAGAAGAGAAAGTGCACAAACGTTAGGACAAACTGTGCAGTACTGTGCTGTGAGAGGGGGGAAGTGACTGTGAGGACAGATCTAATATGTGATGCTCAAAATCTGGGCCTGCTGTGCTCGGTTAACGGTCAACTATGTTGTGCTGTTTTATCGATGTTAAGGTGTCTTGGGTGGCACTGCGTGGGTTTTTAGTGCAGCGTTAGGTTTCAGCGTGGCAGCCTGTAATCTGGGACATGTGTGGGTGACATACTTTAATTCCACTCTATGCAAATCAGGTCAATAATACAAATGCATTTCTATGAAAGTCAAAATTCAGATACTTGTGCATTTTGGTCATTTTGGCTGCCTGTGATGACAGATAAGTCAAATATTTGAGCAATTGGTTGTGCTCCACTTAGAATTGAAATGAAAAGTCTTTTAAAACTAAAATTACATTCCTGAGTTGAATATCAGTAAAGGTAGCAAACATGATGTGGAATTGAAATGAGTTGAAATTCAAAGAAATTCACATTTTTTAAGTATGTGAGGTTTAAAAATCCTTGAAACTTGAAGCTTTAAAAAACAAATTGTGATAAGACTAACCAATTTTATCTTGCCCAATTATTGTTAAAACAAGTTATTGAGGTAATAATCTTGGCACGATAAACTTTGTTGGTCTTGTCTGAAAGAAAAAAGCCTTGAAGCAAAACATATCATATTACCTGCTGAATTTCTTTAAATCACAATTCAGTAAATTCTACTTTCTGTCATTCCAATTTAACTTCCTGTGGCGCATGATTAATTAAATTCAAATGATAACGTGTGTTCTAAAAGGAAGCAAATTCTTAAACTCTAAATTTTGCCAGAGTCTGCAAGGTACCACACAAAGTATAGCAGCAGCCAATCACAAAATGAAAAAATGTAGTCATGCTATACTCTGTCGGTAACAACTCGGATGAATTGACCAAGTTACGGTCTCAGACGTCCTACTGCTCTTAATGATGTTAAACTGTGGTGTTGGACTGTGCAGTGTTATACTGACTCGGTCGAAGTGGTTGAACGAGGCTCTAAACTCATTCATTTGGTCCTGGCTGATGCCTTTGGCGTCACGGGTCAGAATCTGGTTCTCGATCTCGTTAATGGTGCGAGCGATGGTGGTGAGGAGCTGCTCCCAACCTACACGGATGTGCTAGAGGAAGAAAAGAGATGTCAGGAACATACAAATGCACTGGGGGGTTGGAAATAAGCATTTGAGAGTTTTTGTGCGTATATACCTCCATTGTGTAATTAGTGTGTTTGTTGTCAAATATAAGTGCTTCCTGTATTAGTTGATGGTCTCCCTCTAGCTGGTCAATCTTTGGTTTGTAGTTTACTATGCTCTTCTCATACTGCCGCAGGTGGGTCAGCTGATCCTCCAGGGTACCGTGCATCTCAATAGAGATTCGGCCAATTTCCTGAAGATTAAACATTAAAACAATTTTAAAATCAGAGGACAATGACAGTTCTTCCTGAATCTCTGCCTCCGTGTCCAGGGTTTTTCCCTACACATTTTTTCTGAGGCCACCCAAATTATATTTCAGAGCTAATTTAGCAGTATCGGATGCATTCTTTTCCATGATTGACTTCATCTCACTGTCTTCTACAAATGTCAGTGTTAACCTCAGGAAAAATTTCATAAGGGCAAATACCTTAAAATGACTTAAATTATTGAGGGACTGGATGAGTAGAATCCCATAGAATTTTTAACTAGACAGTCCTGTGTCTACTTTGCTCCAAATAGTTATTTGACAAATAATAACTTATATATCCTATGTAAACATATCATGTAATTAAGTAATTAAACTGTTTTAACTGTAAACTGTAACTGTTTTCATTTTTAATATATTTTAAAATGTAATTTATTCCTGTGATGGTAAAGCTGAATTTTCAGCAGGCTTCAGTGTCACATGATCCTTCAGAAATCATTCTAATGTGCTGCTCAATAAAGATTGCTCAATAAAAAGCGGTGCTGCATTCTATTTTTGTGGAAACCGTGATACATTTTTTTAGGATTATTTGATTAATAGAAAGTTCAAAAGAACAGCATTTATTTCAAATCTTTTGAAACATTATAACATTATATATGTCTGTCCTGTCACTTTTGATCAATTTAATGCATCCTTGATGAATAAAAGTATTAATCTTTTCTTCTTCTTTTTTTAAAGTCGCCCTAACCCCAAACATTTGAACGGTACTGTATGTAAATCAACTACACGTGTGACCGTGTATGTAAGCTACTCACCAAGAACATTTTTGACTTTTCTCAGTTCTCTGACAGTACCATAAGAGAATGTGATTAATTTTCTGTTAATTTAGCTCATGTCCCACCTCCATCTTGGTCTGGATCCAGGGCCCAATAACATTTGCCTGATTAGCAAACTGTCTGCGCAGTCTCTCATTATTCTGCTGACGAGCGTGTTCTTCGACCAGGGCCTGATCTCTCTGGGGTACTAACTGCCTCACCTGAGAGGAGAGAGAGAGAGAGAAAAGGTGATTAGGAGAAAGCAGTGTGGAGGTGAATTAAGCATCTCTTCTTGTACCCATTTTCTTAAATATAAAACATATATTCATGTGTAATATACTTGTCTGAAAACTCTGATTCTCCTCTAGTTTATTTTCTGGAAAAAAATTGTGCTCAAACCTTATCCCATTTGGCATTGATCTCCTGGGGGTTGATGGTGGTGTAGGGGTTGGTGCCAGCCATGTTGACGTGGTATGTCTGCACAATTTTAGCAATTTCATTATGGATGCCCAGGATGGCCTGTCGTTCCTTATCTGCCTCAGGCAGTGTGGCTTTAAACTGCTCATGGGCTGTGCTGAGTCCCTGATACACACACACACACACACACACACACACAAAAGAGAGGTGCTATAATTTCCTGAAACATACCTCCTCTGCAACGTTTCAATTTTCACTCTTACATCAACTTTTATATGAAATGCACCAGAACACTTTACAGTCACACTTGAAATCCACCAGATGGATGGATGGACAGATGAGATCATTTAGCATTTTGCACATTTTCTGCTCATTCACACAAAACCACACATGCTGATTTCATATTTAAACACTGTCTTTTTGTGATTTTATAGTCATAGACACTAGACTAGTCCATCTCACGATTTGATTAAAGGTGACCTATTATGCCCATTGTTACATGATAATATAAATCTCTGATGTCCTCAGAATGTGTCTGTGAAGCTTCAGCTCAAAATACCACCCAGATTTTTTTATTATAGCTTGTCAAAGTTGCCCCTTTTTGGGTGTGAGGGAAAACGCACAGTTTTTGTGTGTCTCCCTTTAAATGCAAATGAGCTGCTGCTCCCCGCCTCCGTTCAAGACGACAGCCAATCCTTTTCATGTGCTTCGGATACTATAGGAACAACATAACAGTCGAATTTCTCTCAGGCAAAATGTCAATAATACCCAGTAGCGAGTGCAGCCTTACATGTTTGAACCGGAGTCAGATACAGATGCAGAGCCTCAGGAAGAGGCTGCAACTGTTAGACTGTACATGGACGTTTCTGAATGGTAAGTGGTACATTTATGTAAGTTGTTGTGGAGTTGATTCATCTCATCGACTAGCCTGGCCCTGTACCGTCATGTTAATCTATAAACTGTTGTATAGGTGCTTGTGTGTGAACTGTATTAGGACGCCCACAGAGCCAGAAAATATATGCTGCATGGAGATACAGCAGGTATCGTTTTCTTTACGGTTACAATGTCGGACTGCTGCTTCTCACTCAGGGCGGGATCTAGTGGAGATCGTCACCAGTCGTGGGCGGGGTTTCCCTACTCTTATGTAGGAGTAGGGGGAAATTTGAAACCGCTTGTTGTGAGAGATTGATAATGATATATGGGGATTATAAAAAAGTATTGGGTGGATTTTTACCATTATAGGTTGGTTGTTTACACACACTATGGACACACATCTGTGCAAAGTGAATTTTGCATAATAGGTCCCCTTTAAGCCCTACTTTTAATTCATTCATCCATACTTAGCCAAATTCTGTGACATTCCACATTATACAGTAAATAAAAATTTTATGACTGAGGCAGGCAGACTAGACAGATGGATAAATGGATGATTAATGTGCAATACCTGTATCTCCTCAATAGTGTGGACGATAAAAGTGTCCTGCAGGTCCTCCATGGCTCCCTCCATCCAGTTGTTAAAGGGTGCCGCCCTTTTGGCGAACTCCAGGTACAGCTGATCAATCGTTTCCAACAGTTTCTCTGTCCTCTGAGGGAAGAGATAGAGCCAAGACACACACATATGAGTGCAGAGCACTTACAGCACAAAAACAAACACAAACAGTGGCAGACAGTATATCACCAAAAAAGTGATGCAGCCGTTTTCTGCAGGTCAGAATAGAAATGATAAATTCAAGGTGTTTTTCAAGTTTTTTACCTGCAAGGCCTCACTGCGTTTGTGAGTTAAAACTCCCAGTGAATCCCACTGATCGCAGATCTGCTGACAGCGGGCGTTTACACTGGGAGAGTCGTAGTACTCCAACTCACTAAAGAGCGAGAATGGGTGTGAGAGTGAAGCTAAACTAAACTACTTCAAAGAGCATTGTCTGAATCAGGTTTTTCTGTGTGTTTACTGACTTAAGCTCCTGAGCGATGGCAGCGATCTGTTCCACTCTGTCCTGATGAGCTGCGAGGTCACTCTCAAACGCCTCGTGCTTCTTCAGTAGAGCTTTGATCTCTGAGAGGGTTGCCGTCTCGAAGTCTTTATCCTGCAACATCTCCTCCTTACCTACAGGGAGCAGCAAAGATCAGCAATACCTTAGAGAGAATGAGGAACTCAATTCTTGTAAACAAAGAAAAAGAATGTCCCTGCGTCCCAAAGTGCATACTATCCATCCTAAATAGTATGTGAGATTAGAATAAGTTTGTCCCAATGCATAGTTTGTTGAAAAGAGTGTGACCTACTCTAACGCTGATATTGCCAAAAACTCATTGCTAGTGGAGGATTTGGTTCAGAACTACAAACATGAGTAAAAAGAACTACAAATATGGCAGATGTTCGCAAGACCAACGGTTAGTAGAGACACACTGTAAGGGGTTTGTTATTAATAATCAATATCTAACCTGATGAAAAATATTTTTTTATGTTATATTTAATTTGCAACAACGATTTTTACAGATTCAGAATGATTTGATTCAAGACGATCTACTAATAAAATTCGATGTGATTCGATTAACGATTCGATTCTGCATTTTTAAATTAATTTATAGTTTTATTTAAATGCTTCCGCTAATGTGTATTAGCCAACGTGCAAAATACACAGCGACTGCGACCTTCAGATGGGTGTCTACTATTGCTAAAGTAAGGAACGCAACTTTCATGCGCATCTGACTGACAGATAAACCTCTTATTTCAGTGTTGTTAATATTGTGGTTATTTCAGCAGTTTCCTTTGTACATTATGTTAAATGACATTTAGTTATATGTCATTTATCATTCAATGGAACTGTGCGTATAGTGAATAAATACACCCCTACACATGACTGGCAAATTAACGTACTACTTGTTTTCTTTCTGATATGGTAGGAAGAATTGTTTGAGTAGTGTATATTTAATGAAATAAAATTTGGTGTATATGAAGATGATAACTGTGACAGGATTATTGACAGGCCGGTTGAGACAAAACGCAATTTTGTCCCAAAGCTTGCCTACTCTTCTGCTGCACACTCAAAAGTATCTACTTTTTCCTACACAAAAAGAGTACATACTTTAAGGGCATAGTATAAGTAGTATAAGTAGGCAAATAGGGACGCAGCATGTGTGTTTCTGCTTCGTTTTGCTTCATCTATCTGTTACCGTCAGTCCAGGCTTCGTGGATGGCGGCTTTTTGGCGAAATTTCTCTGCAAGATGGTCGAGTCTCTCCAGTCTGCGAATCTCATTCAGTAGCCACTCTTCATAACCCTTCTCTGCTCCCTCAAGACCTCCCCAAGCATTGGAGATATCCTACACATGCAGACGATTCATTACTGACCACGACCAGTATTACAAGTCAAGTTATTAGAGTTGGATGCTCTAAAACTTTGGTTGATACTTGTAAGTAAGAACTTGTGCCAAGTTCTCACCGAGACCATCTTCCCCTCTGAGGGCATGAACGCAGGGCGGTTACTGAGGCGGAGTTTGGTCTGCAGTGTGTTGAAGTTGATCTCCAGCTGACATTTCTCCTGAACTTTAGGCGGTTTGTGAAGTCGTCGGTAGTCCCGGAAATCCTCCAACTTCTGCTGCATGGCCTGCATGGTGTTCTCCGGAACGCGGTTCTCCAACCACGGGATGGTTCTGCGAATCCACTCCAATAGCTGAAGAGAGCAAGAGAGAGAAAGAGGAAACAAAGGGAGGAAACAACAAAAAGAGGGGGAAAAAAGAGGATAAAACACATTGGAAAAAGTTGGGAGCAGACAGAATGAGATAAAGGAGGTAGAGAGAAAAAGAGATAATGAGATTGGGTTTTAAATATGGGATTTATTGTTTTTTTATTATGAATTAAATACAGGGCTCCCATATAATTTAAAAAATACATTTCCATGACTTTTCCAGTCATTCTGAAATACAGGGTATGGGTTTAATTTATTTATTTGATTTTATCTTATTTTTTTATTTATATACAGTATATAATTATTGTGGAATTATTACTTTATTTAGAGATTGCACTCACAAAAAGATTAACAAAGCTAATAGCTGAGCATAAAATAATTCACATTCTGATCTTTTATGATTGTATTAATTTTCATGGAACTGCCTGGCCTGGAAAGCAGTATTTTAAAATTCCCTGTTTTCCATGACCATAGGAACACTGTAGAGTAAATGTGCTAGATATTAGCTGAGTTTAAATGACTGAAACTTCTCACAGGCCCTAAATGAGCACAGGTTGAGACGACAGGATAGATAAGGAGACGAGACGAGAGGAGGATGGGAGTGAAGAGGACAGAACATGAATGAGTGTGCTCACATCACTGGCTAGTTTCTCATAGTCTTCCATCAGTTGCTCGTTCTCCTGATTGACAGCCAGCACTTTGCAGATCCGATTGGCTGCTGTCTCGGCCTGAGGGGGTAAAGGACAGTGAATCTGCTTCTGTTTCTGTGGAAACCACATCAGCGCCATGGCAACGCTGTTAAGGTTTTGTGTGTTTAAGTGTGATGAGGTGCTCAAGTCAATTTATTACCGTTACCAAAAAGCAATCAACCGCTGCGTCAATATCATATAACCCTTCTGTGCGTGTTTAATTATAAATGTGTGTATTTTTGGAGGGGAGGGGGTTGGATGTTAGGAAGTGAGTTGCAATTCTAAAAGCCAAAAAGGAAGAGGAGAAAACAATGATAAGCTCAGTTTACCGTTGTCAGTGACAGAGTTCATGCAGTGGCTCTCAACTTTATGATCATCTTTTGAATGCTAATCTGAAATGTTACCCATGTTGGCACATAATGCTGATCAACAGTGGATCAAATGTTATGCTTTTTATTGGAAAAAATTTGTTTTCAAGAAATCAGCAGTTTCTGTTGAATAGTGCAAAAGTAAAGTTTTAATTTAAAAAAAAATCAATACAAACATGAACATCATACGCTCTTTCAGTTTCCATTGTTCAGATGAAAATGAAAATACTAACTTTTTTTTACTAGGCTTATATTGATTTGTTATTTGTACTTTTGTTGAAAATAAAAATATAAAAAACATTATAGAAGTGCTTTTTAAATGTTTTTACATTTATATTGATTATGATTAAAATCCAAAAATTAAGTGATATTGTTTTGTACAACTAAAACTGAACTGGTCATCAAAATATACTAATTCTGTCATCATCTACTCATGTCATTTCAAACCTGGAGTCTGTGACTATCACTAAAACAATACAATTCTGTCTTTTCTAATTAAATTAGCTTGTTTTATCCTGATACACTTACTGGGCAAAGTCATTTAGAACAATCCACACAATAACGGTGCATGGGTGTGGATGTGGGTGTGTCAGAGGAAGTTTTGTTGAATACTGAACTGTTTGGTGGATTTACAATCAGACTCGTGCCTTATACGAGCAGACAGGATCTGAGTGTGCAGGGAACACACACCCAGCTTGTAGAAACTATTTATCGAGGGATGTTAGTCATCAGTTCAGAAACGCTCACACAGAGTTGAGGAAACCCAGCTGGATGTGATGAATCAGCACAATGAAGTAGTAACTTTCACCCTGTCAGTGAGAAACATGCTGCCTCTGAATGAACTTTTGTGATTTTAGACTCAGTCTAAACTAATTCAGAATTGTAAGTCTATATGAAGTGACTTAACACGTGAGAAGACCCACATGAAAAATGAGAAAATACATATCGTCTGCCCCTTGTTAATTAAATATTTTAGTAAATTTAGTATGCATGTTACATACGTTAAAGGTAACATCTAAATTGATTGGTTTCATACAAGCCAAAACTATTATTTAATAGAACTGAATCAATCTGACTACCTTAAATTACTTCTTTTTTTTTTTAAATTAAGGTTAGGCAGAAAAAGCAAGTGATGTATTGTTTCTGCCAATCGTGATATGTTTATGCCACATTAAAAAGCGCAAACATATTATTTTGTGGTATAAGCTGCGTATGTGGCTTCTGTGCTTTGGGCTCATGAGTTTGCCTAGGCGGATTCAGATTCATGAATCTATATGAACTGACTCGGATTCTTGAGTCTGCCTAAACAGATTCACTGCTGTGAATTTTCTGGACCAACTCTTTACTGACACAGAAGGAATTATGAACAATAAATATTTATAAAGATGTTTGAATAGGAATGAACCGACTAACTGTCCCGGTGATTTTAGCAGGACATCTATTTCAACATATATTCTAAAATGTAAAGAAGTTTGATGGTTTCTATACGAGACACAGTGTGTGTGTGTGTGTGTGTGTGTGTGTGTGTGTGTGTGTGTGTGTGTGTGTGTGTGTGTGTGTGTGTGTGTGTGTACAGATGTGTGGAGAAACAGAGCTAGGTGTGTTATGTAATACTAGAGCAGGGTTGCCCGGGAAACAGCCAGAACTGACACAAAACCAAAGAAGGAAAGAGAGAAATATCACAGCCAAACAAGAAATCAGAAAGAAGTCACAATGAAGTTTCAGAGCAGATGGGTTCTGACCCGACAGTGACATCAGAGACTGACCTCACCATAATAGCCCTTGTGAAAAAGAAGTGCGCTTAATTGAATTTAATAATCACTTGTAGTGTACTTCAAATCTTAAAAAGATATTTTTTAAACGTATTTTCAGATAATGGAATAATATGATTAAAAAAGGCCACAGTTTTTCTTAACACACTTAAGTACACTTTTAAAAACTACACTTTGTTAATGTAAAATTAAGTGTTACTTTAACCTGTTAAGCTTCACCAGAGCACGGGCGCACTGAAGCATTTTTTTTTTTTTTTAATAGTTCAAAGTTACTATCAGATTTAATGTTATAACCTTGACAAACTATACATCATTAAGAAGATATAAGACTCAAGTTTCAGTATTTGACCACTATTGTATTCTGAGAAACTTGTAGTGACAGTTATGTCTTAATTTGTGTCAGGAGTTATGCAAATAAAAAATGAGTCGTTACCTTTAATATGAATTATGAGCGTCGGATTATGTGTTAACTAACATATTAACACAAATTAAAAATACATTAATATAATTTTAACTGTAGTGTGTTATTAGATATTTTAAGTTAATACATTTTAAATGTAATAAATTACAACTTCGTCATTACAAATTTGTAATTTCATTACATGACATAGAAAGTTGTGTACATTCAGCAGCACACTTTAACCATATTTCAAAGACAATCAATAGAAGTCATTTTGAAATGATATATTAAGATGTATTTAAGTGGGTCTTTTCAGTAACTACAGTAATTGCATTTAATATGAATTTACATTATAATACATTTCCATTTAATTGCAAATCACTTCTAATCAAGTGTCTGAAAATATTACATTCAGTTACAAAATATTCTTTTAAAGTATATTATTTCCTTAAGAACTCTTTCTAAAGTATGCTAAAGATTACTTCTTTTTCACAAGCAAGTTCGGTTGAGTGAAGAACAATATCTCTTTCAGTCTAGATTTGACTAGGATTTTGATGTGGAAGCTGATTGGCTGATGTCGGTCTGCGCTCACCTTCTGTTTGCCTGAGAAGGCATGGTAGTAACATGACACATACGTCATGATGGCCTTTTCATCGGGACGCAACGTACTAACGATATCTGCCCAGGGAAAGAGGGAGCGGGAACAGAGAGAGAAAAGGAGGTGGAGAGGAAGGGAGAGAAAAAAAGCACAGAGTAAAAGACTGCATAGACACAAAGACAAACGGGGCATAGTTCTACAGAAATGATACAAGGCATGAAGAGGTCTCCAGGAAGTCTCATTGATGCCGTGAATGTTTGGGTATTTTCTTAGGAGACTGAAGTGGAGACACACTCATGCCTTCATCATAAGAATTAATTTCCTTCATGCAACAGGTGGAAAGACCCATGCAACTGTAGAAGGAGCATGAGCCCTGATGGGCGGAGCTTAGCACTGCAAAGAGTCAGAAAGAGGCAGACTGTTAGGAGTGTAGTCATGGTCACAAGAAACCACGACATCCAGTAATCACTGCTACTGGCGATCACGAAAACCAGTGAGCGGAAACAGAGTGAAGGGAGGGCCTTATTGGGTGAGTGTAGAAGTTCATGACATTGGGAGGGGGGTGCCCTGCGATACCTTCTGCGCCCCAGAGAAGGCATGGTAGAAGCTAGAAACGTAGGTCATGATGGCCTTCTCATCGGGACGAGCCGTACCAACAATATCTGCAGAGAAAGAAGGGGGTGATATTAAAGTAATAAGAGAAAAAAAAAAAGAATGATCAGAGCACATCACACACAGTCACATACTTCAGAGGCCCATACGAGGGGACTTCCTGTGTAAAGAAAGAGTTATTGATGTGAATGGAGATATGAAATCATCATAATCAGAGCCGGAACCAGGGCACATAAATCAGGGGGGCATTTATATTTGTGGGGGTGGTGGGGGGATTCGGTGGCTGCCAAAATCATGTTCAGCCTTGGTAATGGGTTGGATGCGTGCATTTGTAATCACTTTCAAATGCGTGCTCGCTTTTCTCTTTCACGGCACAGTAACTCGTTTGGGGGGGGGTTGGATGGCAAATACCGGCCCTGATTATAATCAACCTAAAAAGAAACGATCTTCAAAATGCCTAACAAGTTTAAACAAGATTTGCAATTTCTGAAGGAAATCCTAGTGCTTTCAAGCAACAAGAGAATAATGGTAAAGTTTTAATTCAAATGTTGTTGCAAATCGTGCTGGTTTATATTGCTTGTGGAAACACATAACAGCCTTATAATTTCCAGATTTTATTACAAATGAAAAATATAATTTATTTATATATTACCATTAATATGATATATTCAAATAAATAAACAAATATTAAGAGGGTACATACTATATTAAATATATATCAGTAAAAAATACTATAAATATTCAAAAAATATTTATCAGTATAAATATTTTTCTGGGACATATAACAAAACATATTTTATTCATGTGAATAAGAATCCACACATAATGTAGACACCGTCTTTGCAGTGTATATGGGCTTTATATTTAATTAGAAATAGTTGTGAGAAAGAAAAGCATATAGATGCAAGAAAGACACATCTCAACTCAGTATGCACATATTATGACATCACCATTCTATGAATTTTATTAAAAAAAATTGTTGAAAAAGTATAATGCTCACAAAATCTAGAAATAGATAGCACACCTAAGCCTGAAATGATCAGCAAAACAAAGTTTAATTGCAGACTGCATGTTAAGTGGTTCTGGGTTGAGAGATTAAAACAAACCTTAACCAGAATGTTTGATGAATATCAAGCACAGCAACAATCTCATCACGAAACATCACGGCCCATTATCCTAAAAACCCCTCTGAACAGGCTAAATGTTAGGAAAACATCCACAATCACACCTGCAGTAATGGGGTGTAATTCAACCTACACACATACCTGTGTGCCTCCTACAGCTCTATATTTAGACAGAGGTCTAACCTAGTTTCACAGTGAAATGGAACAGAAAGAAACTGTCCTCTAAATGTCTTACCTTCTGCGTCCAGCATCTTAGGGATGTCCAGGTACTTCTCAGCGACATCAAAGGCGGTGTTCAGATTGGTCATTGGGTCATCCTGAGTGAAAGCGAACATCAAAACATGTGTCATTGTCTTTTATATTGCTGGTCTCTAAATATGGTCGGAGGTTCTCGTAATGCCTCACCTTGCGCAGTTTACCGTAATCAATGAGCTCTGGACGATGTCTGTGAATGAGTGCACAGAAGCCCAATCCATCCTTCCAACTGACAGAGACACAGACAGAGAAAGGTAATATATGATGCTGTAGCACAGCGTTCAGTTGCAGTATCTCTGCCTTTTCCCATCATTCAATCTGTTTCTCACTAATGCTTATTTCCTGTCTGCTCACCTGATGTGGAAATTCTGAATGTTGACGTTTTTGTAGGGAGCTGTTTTCCTTTGGCACCAAAGCAGCAAGCCTTCTTTAGCTGAGGTCTCTGCGCACACACACACACACACACACACACAATCTCAGTAATGGAAAGACAATGTTGTCATTTAAATGACTCACACATTCCTGACATTGCGTGTGTTTTTAACAGTGAATATTCAAGAAATCCAAAAGAGCAGAACCGTATTTAATTATTAAGACATTAGTCATTCTGTTAACTCTCATGATGTTTAATAATACACACAAATGAACTACCTACTGTCTTTTTGTTCAAGATCTAAAGCACCACTTATAAACTTGTCTGTGTGTGTGAGTGAGATATATTTATATATACCCTCCACTGAGATGTCCTGGATGGCGAAGCGGAGGATAATGGTCCAGATCATCCCTAGAGTCATCTTAGCATTTCCATCAACAATCTCTGAGCAGAACAAACACACGCACACCAGCATCACATTTACTGTAAGGGTTAGGTGATGCGTTAGGTGATGTTGAGGTTAGGTGACCTCAACATTGAGATCACTTTATAAACTAAAGCCATATCGAAATCATAGACAGGTTTTATATTATATATATATATATATATATATATATATATATATATATATATATATATATACAGTAATTATATATATGTATATATATATATATATATATATATATATATATATTAGGGCTGCACGATTTGGGGAAAATGTCATATTGCGATTATTGAGGTCAATATTGCGATTTTTGAGGTCAATATTGCGATTATTGAGGTCAATATTGCGATTATTGAGGTCAATATTGCGATTATTGAGGTCAATATTGCGATTATTGAGGTCAATATTGCGATTGCGATACAATAAACAAACGGTTTCATGAGTCAACTTGCTTGGTTCTAAAGCAAAATGCACACACAGATTAGTGATAATTCTGAAATGTGTATTTCTCAACTCAAACTAGCAACAACAACTAAATGATTGATAACACCTATAATGATCAATAAGCCATTGCTGTCTGGATAAAAATAATTGTGTGTGTTATTGTTCGTTCAAGCGCGAACGAGAACTGTATTCTGGCATGCGGTCTGTGCAGGCGCATGATACTGGCGCGCGTCCAGTCAGGACATTCACATGCAGCGCGCTCTCTTTTGACTTGTCGCGCATGAATGGTTTAAAAGCATTTGCACGAATAAGAGCGGGATCATGTAACACTAGCCAAAGGATGACAAAAATAACAGATGCTGCGTTAATTGCGTTAACAGCCCTAATTTGTTTATTTCATATAAAAGCATTTTACGTCATATAATCGCATAGGCTTGACATCGCGATTGCGATATGATTAATCGTGCAGCACTAATATATAATTTTATTTTATTTTTTATTACGGTAATGATACAGTAAATTTCGTAGGTCTAAAAATTATATCTACTTTAAATAATTATTGTTCATTTTTTCCTTTTGATTTTCTGGGTGACCTGGACATATTCTTGACAGATTTTGTAAAAATCACTCCTGTGCTTTCACTCCTGTGAAAATTCCTCTGGCATCCCTCTACCATCACAACTCCACCCTTATTCCAAATAATGATATTATATCTTAAATATTACACAACCTTTAATAGTTAAGACTGTAAAGTGAGAAGGCTGTGGATATTAGCGAGTGTCTAGAAGGGTTTTAGAGTCTAAAGTGCAGGAGAACAGCTTTTGCCAGATTGTTTATTTTGATATGATTAAATTGAGTTAAAATGTGTTATACTTTTAAATACAAAACTGCTGAAAATGTCCCCAAAAGCTGATTTTTGGAGACATTCTCAAAAGGAAAAAGGGTTTATAAAGGCTATATAATATTAAGACTGAATACTGTCTGTCTGTATTCACTTTTAAATATGCAAAAAGGTTTATTTTTATTATTGTTTTTACACACAGTTGTATATGGGAAGTCCCATTTAAATATCTAGGTAAACATGCATGCGTTTCCTCTCCATCTTCTTAGGCTAATCTCATAATACACTCTACACACATCCCAGTATGTGCTTGTGTGTATGTGTATCCCAGCTTTGCCAGACAAACACACACACACAAACTGGTGGTAATAGTATGTAACCAAGGCAAAGGCTTTGGTAGATGGCTAATCTGTCTGGAATGCCGCTCTGGATTAAAAATAGAGAGAGAGAGCAGGTAACAGGAAAAATACACACATTTTCAGATAGATCTAATATATGTCAGGTATGTACTTCATGTCTAACCTATTTAACTGTATTGGAAGGGGGAGGGACTTCATGTGACATGAGATATAAGCACATATCACATACAGGCAGATCGTCTGATAGCCATTGATCCCACATGCTGGAAACACTGAACCCATGACCCTGGAAGCCTGCAGAATATAGGTCACTTCAGGAGGGGAGGGGGGGGGGGGGGGGGGGGGGGGGACCTACCCTCTGCTCCAATAGAAACCAGTTTGACTCCTTTGCTGGCGATGAAGTCCAGAGCTTTATTCACATTGGAGATCTTATGGACTCTCATTTTTCCTCTTTCTGGTTTGGCCAAACGTTCCCCTACAGAAAGACGGTTTAAATATCCGGAATCATAATATTACATCACACTGCCCTCAGATGACCAAAACAGGTACACAATTACTTTAATTTCACACTTATTCCTGACAGTTATCAACTAGCTTGTAGTATGCAAATTCTATTTTAAGAAAAAAAAGCCTTTTAATGCATTTTATTATTTTGTATGCAAATTCATATGAATGGAGATAAATATTATTTATACAGGGAACACTCTGTAACTAATTTTCATAATCTTAATCTATAAATGTATTTATAAAGCACAATAAAACAACAGTAGTTAATCTTTGTGCTTGAACAATATCAATTAAAAAGCTAGAATGCGTACAACAGTATGACAATGAAACACAACATAAACACATAATTAAAGCTTAAACTAGCCCCATCTGACTCAAAGATTATAAGTCTTATCAAAGACATAGGTTTTTAGTTTCGCTTTAAAAAGTGATTCTATCGAGATAGGCTGTAGGCTGAAAGCAGTAGGCTGTTCCACAATTTAGGGCCGGCTATGGCAAAAGCCCGGTCACTACTTTTCTTCAGCCTGGATCTAGGGGCTCTTTGGCCCCGTTTACACCTGGCATTAAGATGCGCTTTGGTCAATGAGATCACAAGTGGATGACGCTAAATACAGGTGTAAACAGGGTCTAAAACGTTTTGAGCTTATCCACTTCCGACCACTTTTAGAGGTTGTCGAAAACACATTTGACTCGATTGCTTTCGCAGTGTCGACGCTCATGTGGTCGAATATGTTTGAACAGCCACAAAAGACTGTCTACTCTCCGCCTACTGACCTCACGCGTAAACATTATGGGCTTTGTCTTATTAACTTATCATTATTAGCTTTGTTGGCTGAAGACCCAAGTTTGGTTTGAAGACAAAAAAACGTACCAAGGACAATGTTTTCTCACCATTCCTGACGCTCTCCATGTTTATCCGTGATCTCCGGTCGCGTTCATATGTAAATTGCTTAAGTTTATTTCGTCCATTTCGAAAGTTATGAAAAAACCCATACATTTCCCAACCCATAGACCCTCCCCTCAAAGAAATCAGGACAGAAGTGTTTTGAAAGTGGACAAAAGAGGTGTAAACGGGAATGTGTCTCCCTCGTCTACTTGTGATCCGATTGACCAAAACGCATCTTAATTAATACCAGGTGTAAACAGTGCCTTTGATAATATCAAAGAAGATACAAGCTTTAAAAGGTGGGGGGGGGGGGGGGGGGGGGGGGGTTCAAGGTGGAACTGCGTTGAGAGGTCACTGACCTGAGATGACCTCTAGGAGCAGCATGAGTTTGAGTCCATCTCTAAAATCCTCCTCAATGTTGTCGATCTGCGTCCCCGCCTTCCGTAAATGAGAATTGCACCATGCAGTAAACGT